GAGTCAACGATTGTTGACGTCGTGATCAGGCAGTAAAACGCAAAAATGGACCCTGAGCATGGTGTCAACGATCACGGTGTCAACAAACAGAAAAATATCCTCCTTGTGAGTAAAATTAAAAAATCAAGTGTACAGGAGAGGTCTGGGTCACGTATAGTTGGATTAGGTTAGTTTAGGTCAGGACATGTACGGTTAGATCAAGTAGGTAAGGTTAACGTTATGTAGGGTAAGGTCGGGGAAAGTTAAGCTCTGTGATAGTGGGATAGGTCTTGTAAGGTGAAGTTGGGTAAGGTTAGGTAAAGTTGGGTAAGGTTAGGTTAGGTTAGGTTAGGTTAGAGTAAATAGCACAAGAAAAACAAGACTTGAAATTTAAAAGGTGTTACTGAGGCAAGTTTTAAGTTTCGTTGACGTCGTGATCATTGACACCGTGATCATTTTTCATAAGGGTCAAAATTTTTTATTTTTGGATGATCATGGTGTCAACAAAAACTTAGAAAAACTGTTTGTTGACACCATGATCGTTGACACCATGCTACGTAATCTTGCCAAGAAGAAATTTCTTTACTGCCTATCCTTAAATAGTTTATGAAGATCTTATTGAACTAGTTGCTATTTTGAATGGTGTCATCACCAACACCCAAAGAAAAAATTGCTTCCGATTTATTTGAATTCCGATTGATGTTGTGGAGTAGAAATTGTGCGGAAAGCACATAGAACTTGATAGCACAAGAAATTCATTCGTAACTAATAATGCCTTCATTATTACCTCGGCCACAAATATTACCAACGCTTTCTTCCGTAGCAACTACGTGCGACGAACTCGTGTTTCGGTGAAGCGCACATCCCCTGTTGATGCATTAAATACAGGTACCAAGTGCATACCTACAGGTTCTCGTGTCTCTCTATGCCTTCATGTCTGAATCAGTAATTTGGGTCTTAAATTTTAATGTGTTCTTTCTTTTTCTACTCTTTTGTTTTTTACCTACTTATATTGTCACTGAGTTGAACTAAGTTCATAGAAGACTGAGCTAAGTAGGCAGTGGTGCCAATCGTCTATGATTTCTTTTGTTTCTGTTATAATTAGTTTAAGTTTTACTACTTTTGCCGCACGAGGCTAGACCTCTTGGCAATTTTATTTGTAGTGGCCTCAACTTCATTTGTATTATGTTTTTCTTTATTAATAAATGAAATCTGAATCTGTAATGCGCCACTACCTGGTTGTGAAGTATATGTTATAATCTTTGTGTTACTGCGGATGACTCTCTGGTTACGATATTGGTTTGGATGGTCATCCGGATCTTGATACACCGGATCTTTCCGTAAACAAGAAGGGTGGTAATTCACACCATTGCTGTACTTTTGGATGTCCCACCGGTGATGCATTAATACGTGTTCCGGAAGAGATCCGTGAGGCGCCCCCTATTGATGCATTAAATGCGCTACTACCTGGTTGTGAAGTATATGTTATAATCTTTGTGTAACTGCGGATGACTCTCTGGTTAGGATGTTGATTTGGATGGTATCCGAATCTTGATACACCGGATCTTTCCGTAAACAGGAAGGGTGGTAATTCACACCATTGCTGTACTTTTGGATGTACCACCGGTGATACATTAATACGTGTTCCGCAGGAGATCCATGAAATGCTTTTGATGAATTATAAGGTATGGGTCATAGAGAACTCACGAATGTGTCCTGCATATGTACGTATTATGATAATTATTGGCCAGTAGTCAAACAAATTAAGCGCGCGTAGTAGAAGCAGATGAACAAAAATGCGTCAGTGATTAAATGTACCATTACTATCATAATCATGAAAATAATAAAGGAAAGTGTTTTTTTAGATTTAAAGAAAATTGACTCGATGAATGACCAGGAGTTTAAACACTGGTTTGTATGTAAGATAAGGGACGGTTTAGGGAACTCATTGTGTATAAAAAAGAGTGTGATGCTAAACATCTAGCTGTGCCTCGGTGCAAAATGCGCAGTGCTCTCTCGAACGAGAGACGTAAGACCTGCCTCACAATTTTACGATTCTAGCAGTGCTTTTCCTGTAGAATAATGTTTGTTTTGAAAAAAAAAATGTACACATGGAATAAATGAAAAATAAACACATCAGATAAAGAGGATCCATTCAACTATCTTTTTATACTAAAACAATTCGTGAAAATATCGAAATAATAAAATCACATCAAGATTCCGTTCGGAATTATATTAATAAAAGGAAAAATCACCAAGTCAGAACGTGCCAAACATGTTGGCAACAGCATTCCGTTCGTTGAGCATCTTGCCAGCTTTGTTCGGAGTCTTGAACCATACGTATGAGCTCTCGGCTCCCCCCCCCCCCCCCCC